GAAGTCAGCCACCTGTCTAAAGGTTGTTTCATGGTTTTTTTTTTTTTTTTTGTCTTGCTGGCTGCTTTTATGATCTCTTTCTTTAAAGTGTAATTTCTTTTTAACTGACACATAATCAGTCTACATATTTACGGGGAACAATGTGATGTTGTGATACATGTAAACATTGTGTAATGATCAAATCAGGGTAATTAACAAATCCATCACCATTTATCATTTCTTTGTGGTGAGAACATTCAAAATCCTCTCTTCTAGCTATTTTGAAATATACAATACATTATTGTTAACTATAGTCACCCTAGTGTGCAAGAGAACGCTAGAACTTATTTCTCCTAACTGTAACTTTGTACCCATTGACCAATCTCTTCTCATTCATCCCTCCTCCCTACCCTCCCCAGCCTCTAATAACCACTATTCTACTCTACTTCTATAAGATCAACTTACTTAGAGTTCGCTTATGGGTGACAATCTCTCTTTCTTAATTCTGCTGCTTCACTGTAATGTGTATACTGGTGGATTTCCTTTTATTTTTAGTGCTTAAAAATTACGGAGTTTTCTGGGTCTAAGGTTGGATGTCTTTTGACAATTCTTGAAAACAGTCAGTTACCATCTCTTCAAATATTACCTCTTCCCCATACCTTCCCCCTTCTCTTTCTAGTATTCTGACTGAACATGTCAGATCTCTATCCTCCACATCTTTTACTTCTCTTTTCTACTTTCCAATTCTTTTTCGCTTTGGACTATATTCAGGATAATTTCTGCAGTTTCGTCTTATATTTTACTAATTCTGTCTTCACAGGTATGTACTCTTATTTGACCCATACTTTGAATTCTGCCATTTCAGTGACTATATTTCTCATTTCTACAAGTTTCATTTGACCGGGTGCAGTGGCTTACGCCTGTAATCCCAGCACTTTGGGAGGCCGAGACGGTGGATCACCTGTGGTCAGGATTTTGAGACCAGCCTGGCCAACATGGTGAAACCCCATCTCTACTAAAAATACAAACAAATTAGCCAAGCCTGGTGGCAGGCGCCTGTAATCTCAGCTACTCAGGAGGCTGAGGCTGGAGAATCGCTTGAGCCCTGGAGGCGGAAGTTGCGGTGAGCCAAGGTGGTGCCATTGCACTCCAGCCTGGGCAGCAAAAGCAAAACTCCATCTAAAAAAAAAAAAAAAAAAAAAAAAAAAAAAATTTCATTTGATTAATTTCCAAATCCATTTTGTTGTGCCGACTCTGGTTACTTGTTCATATTTTCAAGCTTCTCTTATTTTTGAAACATCCTGTATTTTGCATCCAGTTTCAATGTCACTTGTCTTTTCTGGTCTGATTCTCCTGTCTGTTGTTTATACTGACTCTTGTTCGTGGTATTTTGTTTCTTTGTGTGTTTTATAATTTTTCTACTGAGACCTCCTATTTCCTGGAACATTATCTGTAGGAGTCTTTACAATTACATCCCTCCAGAGAGAGTTTATATTTGATCCTGCGCATCACGTTTGAGCATTACGAACCTAGGGCCACATTACACTGAAGTCTCTACTGGAAGTTTATTGATGCATATAGGTAGCACCAATTCAGGAGCAAAGGCACATCAGGGCTGGCTTATGCTTCTGCATTCTCATTGTAGACGTTTTTCCTCTTCCACATGATGTCATGTTTAAGATGGATACATTTCCTTGCTTCCCGTCTGTGCAGTGGAGTTAGTTATTCTTTTTTATTTTTAAATGGAGTTTTGCTCTTGTCGCCCAGGCTGGAGTACAACAGCACGATCTCGACTCACTGCAACCTCCCTCCGGGGTTCAAGCAATTCTCCTGCCTCAGCTTCCCGAATAGCTGGGATTACAGGCACCCTCCCACCACCAGCCTTTTTTTTTTTTTTTTGTATATTTAGTAGAGACGGGGTTTCACCTTGTTAATCAGGCTGGTCTCGAACTCCTGACCTCAGGTGATCCACCCACCTCAGCCTCCCAAAGTGCTGGGATTACAGGTGTGAGCCACCACACCTGGCTGGAGTTATTTATTCTTTACCCTTACACTAAGAATTGAGTTCTGTAGGATCCCAACTTCATGAGGAGTTCTCTTATAGACCCTCCACTTTGAGCGAGCCACATAACACTTACTATTATTATGTGATTTTTGGTGGTGGTGATGTGTGTAGGTGTGGGTTTTGTCAAGCACCTGGCAAGACTAATGTTCTGAGGGACACCCTTGAAGTGTTGGTTCAATGGCACCTGCTGGGGCAGCCTGGGTGATCGTCCATCAGTCAGACAGGGATCTCGGGCAGGGCAGATCACAGCAGACCCTGTTGCCTTCTGATCTCCCTGGAGGAATGGGAGGAAGGTTTTCCCCCTCCCAATGCCAAGCCAACCAACCTTCAGCATTCTGAATCTTGGGGCTCCAGATCCCAGGTGCCAGGGGATAGATGGCCTGGTTCTATTTCAAGGTTGTTCCTGAATAAAACCTCCATCCAGGTATTTATTTGGGAAGAAGAGAGAAGAGCCAGTGGTGGGAGTTGGGACTGGGCCTTTGGCCACACTGAGGAGGGAAAATCCCTGCAACCAAAGTGAGGAGGAGTGCTTAGACTTTCCATGGGCAGCAAGGTCCAAGGCCTACTCCCAAGTGGCCCTCCACACTGCGGGACGGCTGCAGTGATCCCAGGAAATGGGTGTTGACCTCGTAGCTTGACAGCATTGGTGAAAAGTCCTTGTCGTTCAGCTAACACTGACAGCAAAGGACCAGCCATTTAGCTTTGAAATGGACCTTGAGGAATTAGGAGTGAGCGCCCCGCAGGCAACCAAGGCGGACTGAAGGTCCCCTTGTAAGTGGGGCAGGCGTTTGCGGTGCATGGTCTCATTGAAGCCTCACACCCGCACACTCGCCCCCAGAGGCAGGTCCTATTATCATCCGAGATGAAGCGGAAGAAGATAAAGTCCCTTATCCAGGGTCACCCTGGTGGTGAGGGGAAGAGCCTCAGTGTGCACTGGGGTACATCTGGTTCAGTCTCCAGGACTATAACTGCTGGAGCTGAGCAGCCTCCAGCTGGGGAAGCATCTGACCAGATCCCACCCACTGAGGAGCCTGGGTGGGGGAGGATCTTCACGTTGGTCCCAGGGCACAGCCCCTCCTCCACCCAGGATGTGTCATCCTCACAGGGGCAGCCAGGGGTGAAGGGTAAGCCGGCTGGGGGCGGGGTGGGACCAGGGAGGGTGACGTCACCGCTGGGCTTAGTAATGCTTTGGCAGAGCCTGAAGCACCCACCTTGGGAGGAAGGGGAAGGAGGAGGGGCAGCGCTGGAGCCAGCATCCAGGAGGCTGCCAAGTCGGCGATCAGAGATGGGCACCCTGCCAGGAGCACCCCAGACCAGGCCTCTTGGGCAGGGGGCCTCTGGGAGAGGAGAGACACTCTTGGCGTGCTGGGAGGGGACCCTGCAAAGCAGTGTCTGTATGGGAGTGAGTGCAGAGTGATCCTCGGACTGTCTGTCCATCTGACTGGCAAGGCTGGCGGCCAGCCGTCCCCTGATCAATGCCCGACTGTCTGACCGCCTGACCGTTGAGTCCTGTCGCTGGCAGATGGATTGCCTGACTGATTTATGTGACTGACACTTGCAGAAGCCATGAGGGATGGGCCAAATCTCTGTCCACATCCATGAGACCCTGGGCTACCCTCAGAACCTGATGCCACCTCTTATGAACACCCAGGGTCAGGCGAAAGAAGAGAGAAAATGAACATCTCCTGAGGTTTAGCAAACACCTAGCCTTGGGCCAGATGCTGGAGGGACACACCTAAATCTGACAGGGCCCCGCCCTCAGGAGCCCACATTCTAGCAGGGGAGACAGAGTCACAGCCGTAATGACAGAAACCAGTGCATCAGATAAGCAGACTCAGGGGAAAGGGAAAACAACTTTATTCTTGTCACCCAACATTTTTTTTTCCACTTTTCACGATTCTTTTGCAGGTGGAAGTTCGTCCCCCCAATTCCTAGATGAAAACTCAGGCAGCCCCACAAGTTTTCTGACCTCGGTTAGGCGATAAAAATTCTTAGGTCACTTTAAATTGCAAATACAGAGTCAGGTTGGCATTAAAAGTGTCTGGTCCAAGGTAGTAACTGCATCTTTGAACTTGGTTCAACGCTAACCCACCTTTCTGCCCTTGCTGCCCTCTGCCGGCAGCAAGCTGGAGAAGGGGCTTGGTTCTACTTTGCCCCTGCACATGCCCTTGCTCCGTGCCCCTCTTCCCCCATATTGCTACAGACTGAGCATCCCTAATTCGAAAATTCAAAATCTGAAATGCTCCCAGATTCAAACCTTTTTGAGTACCCATGACATGACACTACGAGTGTAGAATATTCCACCTAACCTCTGTTTTCTGATGGTTCAATATGCACAAACTTTTGTTTCACGTACAAAGTTATTTCAAATAGTCTAGAAATTACCTCCAGACTATGTGTAGAAGATGCATATGAAACACAAATAAATTTTGTGTTTAAGGCTTGGGTCCCATCCCCAAGATATCCCATCATGTATCTGTAAATATTCCCAAATCCAAAAATATCCCAAATCTTGGCCGGGCGCGGTGGCTCATGCCTGTAATTCCAGCACTTTGGGAGGCTGAGGCGGGT